TGATGAACACTCCTCCCTCTCCCTCCAAGGCCGGATGGACTCACGCCCGATGCATTGTCCAGAGCGGAGTGTGCCCGGCGCATGCGACGCCAACGCCCTGACAACACACACGTCCTGCGACTGGTGGAGCACAGCGCCTCGCGCACCCACGGGACTGTATCATCGGGGCAATCACTGGTGGTCACCAACGCACTCGTTCAAATGGTTTAATAGCGCCGCGATAGTCCCCTCCCGCTCTCTCTCTCTCTCCCTCTCTCACTCCCTCTCTCCCTCCCTCTCTCACTCCCTCTCTCCTCGCGACAGTAGCAGGGTGCGGCAGTTGTCGCCTCCTCCGTCCCGCCGCATGCCAACCAAGGCCGCTCCGCTCCGCTCCGCTCCGCTCCGGTCAGCCGCTCCGCACCGGTCGCTCCGAGCAGGCTGGGCTGGGCTGGCTGGACCCAGAGGGCCCGACCGAAGCCCCGTGCCGGGTAGGCGGGCCTGTCGGGCGGCCGTGCGTTGCGGGGTTGCCTACCCGCCCCTCGTCGGGCGCTCGCGGTCCCCGGAGCCGCCCGCTCCGGCTGCGGCCGGGAGGTACCGGTAATCCTCCGGGGCAGTGCGTTCAGGTCGAGGGAGAAGGTACCTGCCCTGTCCACGCTCTTCCTTCTAGAGCCCTACCGCGCGGTGTTTGAACCCCGGGGCGGGGCGCGCACGAGCTGACACGGCGAGCCGATGTCGTCATCGCCAAATGACAGCAGCACGCCCGCCGGGCCTGGCTGCGACAGTCAGCAGGACCGACCGGCCCAGAGGACCGTCCCGCGTCCCGGCCGCAGTGACTAAAGTGCTTGAGACGACATGGCGTTGGAGTCGTCAGCGAGCGGCTGAGCTGAGTTCCGCCGCAAGAGAGGCCGTCTTACACTAACGGGGGGTCGCTCGCCCGACTGCAGCGAGAGGGCCAGGCTGCCCCCGGCCCCCAGCACTGCCCTCCTGCCCTCCCCCTTTTCGGCTTCGGCGGAGAATTTGAAAACAGTTGGAGGAAGTAATGGCTAAAATAAACGAGGAGTGGCATTGTCGACTTACACACTGCTTCGCGCAAAGCAAAAATATACGTCTTATTGTGACAGCGAGAGGGGGAGTGGAGAGGGGTGGCGTGGCGTGGTTACAGGAAGTCCAACTTAGCTGGGCCTTACAGGGGGGACAGAAGGGGGGCTGGGCGGCGCGCGCCGCGACCCAAGCCGTGCAGAGCTCATTTATGCAGTCCTGTACGCTCGGAGGGGGAGGGGGGAGGGGAGGAGAAGGAAAGACGTCGACGTGTCAAGCTAACCGAAGAGCGTAGTGTAGTGAGTAGAGCTTTGTTAAACGGGGAGGCCGTGGTTAGGAAGGATCTTGGGGTTGTCTAATGTGTGAGCGGCAGCGGGGTTACGGCCTCCATGTGCGCCTGCGGCCAGCGTGCACCCTAGTTTCGAGCTGGGCTGAGGGGGAGGAGCGGGGCGGGGAG